CGGAAAAAAAAAAAAAAAAAAAAAAAAAAAAAAAAAAAAAAAGATAATCTTTCCATAAGCTTTTTGAAGACCCCTCGGGGGTGTGTGTGTGTGTGTGTGTGTGTGTGTGTGTGTGTGTGTGTGTGTGTATAGATACGTTTACAACTATATTTCTGTCTTCTGTTCATATATATGAAAACTCATGAGTTTACACAGGTACATCCAATTTCTTGTTTTCTTTCTGCTCATATTGCATCTCCCTTTTGGACAACGAGAAACCTGGCTCTCATCATTCTTAAAATATTTAGATATTAGATCAGTGCCCATATGTAACCAGTCTTCTGTTTCCCCATTCTTCGTGTGTATTTTCTCCTTACTATACTTGGGTTCTGGGACTCAGATCGTACGGATCTGGCCAGTGTCCAAAGGCAGGCTTGTTACAAAACTTTCTTCTCTGGCACTTTGGCCCCAGTCCTGCCGTTTGTTTCCAAAAGTTTTTCATTTGGAAAAATTCAAAATGCAAGCAAAGACTTTTCCACAAAAATGTTCTTTGGAGAATTATTTATAATAAGGGAAATTAAAAACAATGTAATGTTTATCTAATAAATGAAGTTTTTAAATGATAAACTGCAAGGTATATTAATGACAAGAGAAAATGTTGGTGTTAAAAGTAGAAAAAGCAGATTATGAAATTATAATGTTTAGTATAATCTGAATTGTTAAAAACAAAAAAGGGTAAGGAAGACATAAGCCAAAATATTAGTAAAAGTTTCCTTTGGGGATAGAATTGTGTGTGTTTTATTTTGTTTTGTTTTAAGTGCTTTTTAAAAACTTTGTGTTACCTAACCTACAGAACCGGGAATATAAGGTTTTTTTTGTTTGTTTGTTTTTTTCCTTTTTGTCTTTTTTACTGACTGGTAACGGGATCGCAACCCTCGGTGTTGCCCCCGCACCTCGCTCAGCCAGTGAGCGGGAACCGGTCTGTATGTAGGATCTGAACCCTCAGCGGGAGCGCCGCCGCGCTTCCCAAGCGGCGCACTGTAGCAGTGCGCCACCAGGCCGGCCCTCCAGCAATTGCTTTTTAGCGGGTGCCAGAATAGAGAGAATCATAAAATGTCAGGACTAGACTTCTAATATTTTAGAATAGGAGTCTTGAGGCCTAAAAACTTCATGAGGGTTATTCTACTGGTTTGTGGCCGAGTCAGCACTAAGACCTAAATCTCCTGACTTCTTACTACACCAGACATCACAGACTCAAATTACGTTCCCCCAAATTACTATGGATCAACATTTTTTTCATCTAACCAATGATGAGGCTTTGCTACATGCTAAATACTTCATTCCATTCTGATAGTAAAACTCTTTGAACATAACCAGCTTAGCAGGAAAAATATCTTCATCCTTTTCACTTCATTCAGCTACTTTGCCACTTGTCTGTAATGGGAAGTTTAATAGAAACAGATGAGTCTGAAGAAGCCCAGCTTGTAGGGGAATTGGGGCACAAATAAGAGTGTCAAATGTGAGGTCCAGGACTGAGGGAGTCTAGGAAAAGGTTTTGTAGAGGAGGTAGTACTTAAAGTGCCTCTTGAGGGAAACAATCTTAAATCAAGGTCAACAGGAAGAGAGCAACAGCAGACATATGCAGAAGTGGGTGTGTCTGGATAATAGTAAACTAAGGGTCCCTGGAGGAAACCAGTTGATAAGGGTGGAAATGAAGGCCTGGGATATTTGATAGGCAATGAAAAGACAAGTGCTGCAGCCTGTGTACCTTCCCTCTTGTGATGAGATGCTTTGTTACTGTGATGTGTGTTCAAATAAAGCCAGTGACATCTTTTGCTGTTACTTAATGTTTTTGTTGTAAGAGCTTAAATTTATTGTTATGACAATGAACTTCTTGAAGGCTACAATGAGTTTGACTTGAAGAAATAATGAGTGCTCAGTGAGGAAGCTGAAAATGAAAGCACGTGAGTGAAAAGTGAATGAGAAGCAGATGAACTCAGAATGCCAAGAGTGACCCACAGAAGGCAGATCAACCACAATTTGGGTCAGGCAGATGCTTTAAGGGACTACAAAAGCTCTCGGGGATTTATGGGATCTGATTCCAGTTTTTTTCCTTTGCAGAATGTTCACATCTTACCACGTACAGTTCTTTACATGGCTGATTCAGAAACTTTCATTAATCAAGAAGAGTGTCGTGGCCATAAGAGAGGTAAATATCAAAAGAAAAAGTTTTGGTTTTTTTGTTTCTTTATGTACCTTCTGTTTAGAGTTAAATATTATACTGATCCTAAGAGTTACTACTTTCTGAGGCTCTGGAGCTGCCCCCTGTAGTATGCATGTATATATATCTTTGAACCTTAAAGAGCCCTTTTTGCTTCAGATTGATTTCTAAACCTTGCAGTACAGTTGAAACAAATTCTTTAGAAAGGTGTTTTTCTCATTTTGAAATACTTTAATCCTCCAGGCACTTCTTTTTATTATTAAAACAGGATGTATGACTTTGGCTGTTTAATCCTTTTATTGTGTTCGATTATGGGATCCCTTTTACCAGAGTTATCTACAGATATTGTGCATTCTTGGCTTGCTAGGGAAAAGGCAAACTAAGTATCCAACATGGGCACATGGAAGCCCAGAATTAGACTTAGGTAATGGATTATCATTGTCTAATTTGAATCCAGTTGACCGTTAATGCAGAAAAGTAGTAGTTATGCTAGATCAGCTGAACAGAAAGGTACAGTAGCAAGTTTAAAATTTAGTGCTCCTACTAAATTTGATGCCATTGGGGTAAAAGCAGTACAGCATACGAACACAGGGAAAGGCGAACTAGTGATGCTAAAGGTCAGATTAAGAATTTAAAATATAAAACGGGCCAAAATGGGAGAAACATTTATTTTATTCAGAACTTTTAGACTTTCTTATAAAGCATTCTGGTGTCAAATGACTTAAAGACTTCCAGTATTTGCTTTTCTTTTTTCTTTTTTTTACATTGTCATATTTGACTTTAAATGGATGCTATTTAATAATTTTGCTATGGTATTATTACAGCAAGGAAAAGAACTAGCATGGAAACAGCATTTGCCCTTGAGAAGCTATTCCCGAAACAATGCCAGATCCTTGGGATTGCGACCCCAGGAATCGTAGGTGAGAGAAATTAGCAACTTGACAATTTCTTCCATGCATTAGTATGTGGGGTCCTTTAGTTTGTGAATTATTTGTAGCTTAAAAGCCCATTTATATTCCTAGCCATTTAAAATACAATACAGTTAGTCATATTTACTACGGTAGTATATTTGACTTAATGTTAATGTTTGTTAAGTTATTGTGCTTAGTATTTCAAATCTCAGGGCTACCTGTATAAACCAAATATAATGTGTAATGCATGTCTTTCCATTCATAAGAGGGAAAAGATCTCATTCTACCTCTGTCCAAATTAGAAAGTATTTGTGGGCATTTTCAGAGTTCTGTCAGTCCAACCAGTCCTGTTTCTGGTGGGTAGGGGTGACGTGGGGCTGGATTAGGAGTTAAGATGGGCCTTACTGGAAACTTCTGTTTCTCTGCTTGGCTACCAGTGTTTGTAGTTTATAGCATGAAGTTGTGTCCTTTTCCATGTTTGATTGTTGTTGCTGGTGAATTTTTGCTGGTTTTTATTATTTTTGACTTTTTAATAGGTAGCAGGGGAGAGAAATTCTGTTGAGGCAGTAGTGGTGCAGCAGTTAAGATATCTGGATTAGAATCCCATTTATAGGGGCCAGCCTGTGGCTCACTTGGGAGAGTGTGATGCTGATAACACCAAGGCCACAGGTTCAGATCCCTATATAGGGATGGCCGGTTGGCTCACTTGGGAGAACCTGGTGCTGACAACACCAAGTCAAGGGTTAAGATCCCCTTACTGGTCATCTTTTTTAAGAATCCCATTTATACCACTTAGAAGAAACTTGGTCAGACTTTGTATGTGTTTCACTTTGGGCAAGTACCTAACTTCATGTGGCTTCAGTTAACCCATTAATCAGATGGGGATGATGATAGTAGTACCTTCCTTGGAGGGTTGTGAGGATTAAATGAGTTAACATGTTAAGAATTTAGAATAGAGATAGGCAGTAAGCAATAAATAAATGTTAGCTATTGTTATTTTCTTTGTTCCAACTCAGTAGTATTCCATACTTGACATTTTAAAATCTTCACTGAATGACTTCTGATCTGAATTTGAGTCTTGTACAATGAAGTACAAAGGATTTCAAGTGCTTACAAATGAATAAGGTGTATATGTGTGTGTGTGTGTGTGTGTGTGTGTGTGTGTGTGTGTGTGTGTAATGAATAAAGGTATATATGTAAATAAAGGTATATATATATATAAATGAATAACGATATATATAGTTTCATCTCTACTACCATCAGATCCCCACTACTATACTGTTATATCTACCTTATTAATCTTACTTAATCTTAACTGGATTAAAAATATGATAGAAGTGACCATGGTTTTCTTTAAACTTTTACATTAAATGAGCAATCAAGTTTTTAGCATTACTGTTTACTAACAAATGCTTATATAGAATCATAGCTTTAATTTCCTACATCATTTTCTTGGTCCCCCCCATCTGTACCCACTGTGGCTTCCCCAAAGTGTGACCAAGTTTCTCCTTTTTAAAATTTCTGCTGGGGGGATAGGGACAGGAGAGGGAGGGTCAGACCCGCGTGACATTTCTTCTGCCTTCTGTGACCCTATCATGAGGGGGTCGGAAGTCTACCTTTTGTACTGGCCTTCTTCTGAAGCAGTTTTGACGTTGCACCTCTCTTCTCCCTAAGTTCTCTCATGATCTTGTTGTTAGGAGTAAGTATCACGCCAACTCCCTGTAGTCGGGACTGGTCCTCTCTGTTTTTTTGGAGCCCCACCCCGCCTTTTTATTATTTCTGGTACCCCCAATAGTTGGTGGAAACCGGTTCTATGTGTGTCTGAACAAAACTTTCACCAAACAGTTGATCTGATTCCTTTATCTTAAGCCACAGTATAGTGCTTGTTTTTGTTTATTTGCT